CTGTAATATCATGTCCAGCTTAGTGCATTTGAATGAGTTAGTCAAGTTTTTATGAAGCTCCGCGGTCATACCGTGTTAACTTGAGTTCTTACTCTGCGTTTCCTGCATGCTGTATGTTTTTAACTACACAATTTAAACTTATTGTTGGCCATGGTCTGGTTTTGTGCTATTGTGGGAATGTTTTAGCAGTCACAAGTAAAAAGGCCAAAGGAAATGAAAACCGTAATATCATGCTCAGCTTAGTACATTTAAATGAGTTAGTAATAGAGTCAAGAGAGTCATGAGTCATGAGTAGTAATAGAGTCAAGCTTTTATAAAGCTCTGCGGTCATACCGTGTTAAGTTGAATTTTTGCTCTGCATTTCCTGCATGCTATATGTTTTGGACTACATACTTCAAATTTATTGTTGGCCATGGTCTAGTTTTGTGCCATTGTGGTAATGTTTCGGCATTATTCAGCGATGTTTTGATTTATACAGACCGCAGTGAGTAGCACTCTTTTCCTACGATGCATTATTGGAAAATGAAAATGAGGCATTATAAGCTTTTAGCCGTTTCTATTCGGAGGAACCCTTGAAATGCGTCAACATTCACGTCAGTGTGAACATTCGATGAAACTGTTGTAAAAACCCGACATTTGGCACCAGCCAACTAAACCGATAACGGCAATCGCCTGACAACGACCACCAACACTAAAAAACTCAAGACATAATATGGAGGGCTCCGGAAAGATTGAGCGTGCCCGGGGAGGCTAACATATAGCCCCCCCCCCCCCAAGATCGTGGTGCCAGCAGTGTAGTGGTTGACGCGTCTGCGTTAACCACTGCGCGTCTGGGAGACAAGAGGTACGGGATTCGATTCCCCACGGTGATTTCCAAGAGATACGGGGATCGATTCCTCCCTCCCCCCCCCCCTTTCTGCCGGGGTGAGAGGCAGGCGATACCACGTGGTCTTAGCAGCTGAGTGCTTCTTGAATCCCCAGTGACAATATCAAGAGCGTAGGGCCCTGCATTAAAATAGGACGCGCTCAAGATCCAATGAACATGTCCCCTAAACGGCGGAATGAGCCCGAGCAGCTTATCAAAAGGGGCCCGCAACAGTGCAGGACCCACCATTTAAGTAAGAAATATCATAAGCTAAGTGCTGAGTGCCCCCAAAAGATGAAGTGTACGCGAGCAGATGATCAGATGGCCCCCGGCGGGAGCGTAGGGGCCTGGATTCAAACACCAAAACCCAATGTGCAAAGCTCCCGAGCAATGCAGTGTGGCCAAGGGGGCGAACAGAAGGGCCTTCGACAAGTGCGTAGGGCCTTCCACTCAGATACCAAGGACCCAATATACAATGTAGAGGACCTCTGAACAGTCAGTTGTGCCTGAGCGGGTTAACCAACGGGCCCCCGACAAAAGCGTAGAGCCCTCCGTTCAAATATGGAATACCCACGACACGATGTAGAGGCCCCCCCCCCCCCCCAATGATCGATTGCGCCAGAGCAAGTTTACAGAAAAGATCCGCGTCAAGAGCGAATGGCCCTCCATTTAAATAGGAAGCACTGAAGACCCGATACAGAGGTCCTCCAACGATCGAGCGTGCCCGGAGCAGCTTATCAGAACGAACCTCGACAAGAACGTAAGGCCCTCCATTTAAATAAGAAGCACCCAAAATCCAGTGCGGAGGGCCTCGAAAGATGGAGTGTACTCGAGCAAGTTAACGGGTGGCCCCGATAGGAGCGTAGGGCCCTAAATTCAAACGCCACGACCCAATGTGTAGGGCCCGAAAAATCCAGTGTGACCCAGGACGCAAACAGAGGGGGTCCCCGACAAGTGCATAGGGCCCTTCATTCAAATGGAATGTACCCAGGACCCAACGTAAAAGGTCCCGAACGATCGAATGTGCCCGAGCAAGCTATTAAATGGCCCGCGACAGGGGCATAGAGCCATGCATTAAAATATCCAATCTGCAGAGGCTCAAAACAATTCAGAGGCCCCACGCAGATTAGTGTGCCCAAGCAGGTTAGCACGCATGGGGTCCTCTGCATTGGATCTTGGTTAGCAGAGACCCCAAACAGCTCAGTGGGGCCCTGACAAGTGTGTGAGGCTCTCCATTCAAATGGAAAGTACCGAAAACCCAATTTGGAGGGCCCCGACCGACTGAGTGCGCCCAAGTAAGTTAAAGAATGGACCCCTCGACAATAGTTTAGGGTCCTAAGCAAGTGGCAGGGAATTGGAAGCACCCTGGACCAATGCAAGGGTTCTATAGCATATCGCGAGTGCGTCGGTAGGTGAACCAACACCAACGTAAAGGGTCCCTGAGTGACCGAGAATACCCCGGCAGGTTAACATATGGGGCCCTGGCTGTAGCGCACAGAGCCTTTCTGACGGATGGAAATATCCTATGAAAGCCCCTGACTGAAAAGAACGCCCCGCCACGTTAGCAGGAAGGGCCCAGCAACAACGCACGGCCCTCCGAGCAAATGCAAGAAACCAAGGGCAACGCGGAAGGCTCCATAACGATCGGAATGACCCTGCAAGTGGGCAGATAGGTCCCCGGAAACAGCATGAGGCCCCTGGACAGCGTAATGAGGCTTACAATTCCCAGTTAATAACTTTTTCAATCCTTCGTATATACATATATTTTTTTGTCTTCTCGCGGGTGCTCACTTTCGCCTGCGACTGTTCTTGGTCGTCTGGAAGTCCAAAGACCACTAATCTTGTTGTGTTTTTGTGTATAAAAAAACTCCATCTGATCAGCCGGCTGTGGGCCCCTTTGGAGCCTATGGGCCCTTTCGGAACCCAAGGAGGCCCATGGTCTCTCGCCCCCTCTCTGGATCCGCCCCTGACCTCCTGTCTTTTAAGAAGGGCATGGTTTCCCTCGAAATCAAGTGGGACATATCCGGTGACTTTTTTGGGTCACCGGATATGGGGAACTTTCACCGAGGGAGGAGGGGAGGGGGGGGGGGCTTGGTCAGCCCTGTGTCCCATCCCCCAGTTACCAAGACTAGCTGCGCCCCTGCGTGGGTAATCTCATTGAGCACCGAGTGTGCGTACAGTATCATCGCATGGTAACTGAAGGGCCAGCTCAACTAGTAACGCTGTTACAACAAACCTGCATTACGCATGACAACGATATGGCGGATGTAAATTGCCCATTTTCGCCTGCTAGGACACTAAAGAAAAGATATTCGTTCATTCATCCTTTTGAGCCATTTTGAGCTTTGTTGATTCTTGGATCATCATGGCCATGAATCATACGTTTCATACTAGTTTGCCCCAGTTGTGACTTACCTGTATCGACTTCTTGCGGATTGGTTTGGTCGTTGCTGTAATTGGTCTAAGAAAGGTAGTTTTCCTCTTCAGCAACCAAAAAAGTGTTTATACATTTCTGAACCGTTGGTACCAAGCTAAAATCCCATACCTTTCATGCCCGCTTGCCTACGGTAAAGCGACTACGACGCGTCAATTGGTTATCGGTAACCTTTGCATTGTTATCCGAGCAATCCAAATTTTTTTGGGAGCGCGTCAGTAGCCGAGGATGGCCAGTCTTTGACGTTGTTAAACCATGTGTCACGACGTTCATGACCCATATGCTGCATGCTTACTGGTCTCCGGTAACTCTCCTACGCTGCGTCGAATGTAACTTGGCCTTGGCTCCTTGCAAACCTACTGCGGCGCGTCGACTGAGAAGCTTTGTATTGTGCCCAAGCAAGCAAAGGACATTAGCAGCCAAAGATGACCAATTTGGAACTTTGCTGACCCATGGCCACGACATTTTACTGCCCACATATTTCATGCTTGTTGCCTCTGGCAACTACACTACGCAGCGCCAAAGTTGGCCTCGTGGAACGGAAAGAAGATTTTTGAGCGTGCCAGCATTTTCTCTCAAAAGTGTCGGCATTTCGGTGAGTTTATAAAAGCGCGAGGTACTCGTTTCCGTACAAGGGGAAGGGTACATAAATATTAAAGGCGCAAATTGCGCACGACCGCCTCGCCCGCACATGGAGTCTTCGACTCCTTTCTTTGGGTGCCGCCGGATACTCTCAATGGCTGCCTGCCCAAGCACCAAACACGGCTGTCGTGATCGCAGCCCTCACCATGCGTGCCGTAGCCCGACTCGCCAGTGAGCCGTGGACGCCCCAGCCCAAAACGACGCACGCGTCTTACGGGCAGGGTGGCTACTGCACACGCCGATAACGACCCAAATGGATTGTGAGTCATGTCAGCGGCCTTACCCTCACCGGTTGTTGGTCCGTTTGAACTACAATTGTCACAGAGATGGAGTCTTCCAGAGCCAAAACGCACGTACGCACGCACGCACGCACGCACGCACACACGCACGCACGTACACAGTCACGCACACGCATCGGCACGACATTTGGCCGGGCGGCCGCAATATGCCAGGACACCGGCAGATGTGTTTGCACAACACAGACAATACAGGCCACCAGTGTCACATACGACCAGCCGACGGCACCACGGACCGCCGGCAAACAGCTCGCATCACGGAGAGCCGGCGTTGGACACAGTGCAGCCGACTGCACCACGGATCGCCGGCAAACATAGCCAACACTGCACCATGGAGAGCCAGCGTTGGACACTGTGCAGGCGACTGCACCACGGACCGCCGGCAAACACAGCCAACACTGCATCACGGAGAACCGGCGTTGGACGCAGTGCAGCCGACTGCACCACGAATCGCCAGCAAACACAGCCCTCACTGCACCACGGACCACTAGCAAACACAGCCGTCACTGCACGACGAACAGCCGGCGTAGTGCGTTGGGCGTAGTGTAGTCGGCTGCACCACGGCCCGCCAGTCCGGCAGCGGCCAGCCGGGAGCCGTTTATTGGACGGCGTGGGTATGTAAACAGCGCGGCACCTGGCGGTGTGGCAGTGCTTATCTGGCCAGCCGACCAAGTGGACGGTCGCTCCGGCTCGCGGGCCGCCACCGGCCTGGCCGATCGACGCCGCCGGAGCTGCGCGCTGGGGGCGCTGCGGACCTCGTGATTTGTCGACGGCGCCGGCGGAGATGGCCGCTCGGGGCCGCCCCACCCCTCTGTGCCCTCTCGTGGCGGCAGCGGCGGCGCTGTGGCTGCTGGTTACGCCAGGTAAGAAGTTCTGTTCGAAGGACAGTGCATCATGTGAGCTGTGTCTCTGCCATTGCTGTCTGAACGCAAGACGGCATGGATTATTAAGATTTTACTCCTTCGATGTGAACTTCGTTAAGTTGTTTTTAGACCCTCTGATGTCAGAAGCGCGCAAGTCAAGTCATATGCATCGCATGGACATGCATTACGCCCACTGCACGTGGCGTATTCATGACATAGCAACTGGCAGGCAAGGTAAGAAGGTCGAATTACTCCACCGGTCTCCGTCGTTGAAGTATCCGTATGTCGTTGACGGTTGAAAAGTGTCAGTAAGTGATAGGCTTTCCTTTGAACCACATGCATTTTTAAATTATAGAGCTAAGTATATTTAATGAGTCTCCTTCCACCCGTTCGACGCTTCTGATCCTTTGCTTGGTATGCCCTGATAAATGGAAAATCAGATCAAGATATTGTTTAAGCAAAATTTGTGATTGCGAGGTGCACTTGAGGCCAAAAGGGCGGGACAGAACTACCCCATCCTTTCACCCACTTACGTTTGGAGGACGAGCATGTTAAAAAAGTCCGTTTCGAAAAAGCCGATTCGATTGAAGTGATTAGACGCCTGCTCACTATCATCCACCTAAACCACATTTGTCATTTGCAGTCGAGTTCACACATCCAACTCATTTGCTATAGATCTTTACAAGACCAGATAATAAGCGGCTGGTCACATACATTTGAAAATTCTTGCTTTGTTGGCAGCATAATCGCACATGCAGCTGAATTGGTGAGCCACTTAGAGTCGATTCCGAGACACTAATTACCTTCGCAAAATTTACTACGAACGCCTGTCTCATTCAATGCAAATAATCATAATGACAATAATGCTTTGCATTGTACAGAACATTCATGACGCTCGTCTCATCCTTCAGCAGCGTGCTGTGAGATTATTCGATGTTTGTCACATCCGTTAGTAGCGTGCTGTGATACTATTCCGTGTTCCTCCTATTTGTTAGTAGCGTGCTGTGAGAATATTCGAACATTTTACTATATTGTTTCAAAACAAGTGGCACAATTTTGCCAGACACAGCTGTGTCTTTTCGTTTAAGTAGTCGTTGGTCGGAATTAGAGCCCATGGTGCATACGGCTAAAATTTGTAAACATGTTTAGCTGCAGGCAGACACGTGCCATAATGTCCGGGCACTTTGCAGCGAACTCAAGTAATCCCATGCACGTGAGATCAAATGTGTCAAATGCGCTGAACCACTTGTCTCGAAACGCAAGGCCCTCATGGGACGCAGTCATAAATACTTTGAAATGTCTGTAGCCCGTGCCGGCCAGATCCAGCTCCAAGAATGAGTCGAAAGCGTCGGATGTTTTGAGCTTGGTGCCAGCAACGCGAGGCTTCGCGTATCTGTTAAATCACCCTCCAGACAAGGGAAAGAGAATTCCGCCCAGACTGGTGTAGGAGAGGGCGGTTACAATTTGGAGTTGTTCATTTCCGGTCAACACTCATACAGCCAGCGCTAATTTTTCAGAAATTTCAGTTGGAAGGGGATGGCGCGGGAACGCACGGCTCCCTTTGTCCCGCAGTTTCCGTACTCCTGCCATCAACTGAACAAATCCTCACGGAATGCTTACGGTCGGTCAAACGTCTCGACTTCAAGGGGTGCGTGGAACTGTCCACCAACATCACAGGCGAAAATGCATCGCAGGGTATCGATAATGCAGTGGTTAAGCTACGCGTCTGGGAAACCGGAGGAGCGGGGTCGATGCCCCACAGTACCTGCCTTCCCTGCCGGGGTAAGAGGCAGGCGACGCCCTATAGCTTCGGCGGTTGAGTGCGTCGTAAGGCCCCAGCCACACGAACACGAAAATGTATCGGATGTCCCGAGGCGGTCGGCAACAATGCAAACTTTGGCAAATGCATATCATATTGGTCCAATGTCGTTAATCGACTGCGAACGAGCAAAACATTGCGATCATTTAAAACAGGTCCAATATTATGATCTCTCCAGGTCAGCTGTCAAAGAAGGGGCTGACGAGTGCAGTGACTTGCCTATCTTTGCCTGCGGGATACTTGAGGCTACTTCAAGGAGAATAACAGGCGCACATTTTTTTGCTCCATAGGGTACTATGCTAACTCCCTTGAGACCGCCTGTCGTCTTTAAATCACATAGGTGTACACTACTGGCAGGAATGACCTGACAGCGATAAAGCTATCAACATCAGAGTACAAATATTACTGCTGCTGGAACAATGTGTGTTTTTCCGCGAAGTGCTTCAACAGTGGGGCAGGCAGGGGGCCACAGGAGGCACGTGTTCTCCCTCAGACAAGGACCTACGACAAGGGCCTACACATCGGTCAGATACCACCAATAATACACAGTTAACTCCGTGTCGTCATGGGCTCGAGGGCCCATTGCCCAAGCAGGGACAAAGCCGGAACTGACGGTTTACATTGGTCGAGGCTCCAGCCATAGCGCATAATAGGGGTGCCTCCGTTGTCAAGGGACACTGAGTATACCGAGGCAGTGTTCGTGGAGTTCCGAAGAGACTGGAGAGCCCACCTGGACCGACGATCAAGGGTCCGATTGGAGGGCCTAAGGGCACGAAGGCTCGGTTGGAGTCTTATCCAGGAGCTCGGCCTGCGGTGACGGGGCCTCAGGAGCTCGGCCTGCGGTGATGGGGCCTCAGGAGATCGGCCTGCGGTGACGGGGCCTCAGGAGCTCGGCCTGCGGAGACGGGGCCTCAGGAGATCGGCCTGCGGTGATGGGACCTCAGGAGATTTAGGAGGCAAGATGACGGGCTCCTGTCTCGATCAGGGGCCACAGTGCCTAACACGGGTCCCGTGTCGGCAAGTGGTCCCGACTCGGCCAGAAGCCCTGTTTGAGCGGTCCCGAAAAGGAACCGAAGGGTCTCTGGAGACCAAGAATCAAGGGCGCAGTTGCAAAACTGGAGGACCCGAAGGGCTGGCTGCAGGTCATGTTAAGGACCGCTGCCCGTCGGGCCATAATTTCAAATGCCAGGGCCGTTGCACCGATTGGGAGCCCCTGAGGCAATACATTCAGCCATTTCGACGAAAGATCACCAGCACCGAACATCTGACTCCGTGTCCGTCTAAGGTCTGGAACCTGTTTCCCAAGGCAGGGACCAGGCCGGGCCCCATGGGGTGCTCCATTGGGGTCCTCTGACAAAAGAAGGAACCATTGGAGCCTGTGATGAGTGGTCACATTGAGACAATGTAAGGGTCCTGTGCCAGTCTGGGCCTCCAGTACCGGACGGTGGGTCCTCCATCTCAGCTCTAGTATGAGCCCGTGATGCCGAGGTGGAGGTTATGTAATAATTATTGACCCACCTGCGGCGATCAGGGAACTTGTTGCGTCAATGATGGACCCTGCGTCGATCTGGGACCAACTATGCGGGTCAGAAGGCCTTTCGCGTCAGAAAGGGGACTAATGTGAAATGATGTGTCCCTCTAAGGGCCTCCGGAGCGACCAGCGGATCTGGCGACCCCGTGTCGCCAGAATGACAACCGGAAGACACCCCGTAGTGGGACGGAATGGCCTTCCAGCCCTTGATCGGGAACAACAACGTGCCCCTTGGTGTTTTACTCAAGGGGGCTACTTGCCCGGAAAGAAGGAAGGGGCCTCGTTATTGTTGGATAAAATGGGTAGGAACCCGTTGAAAAAAATGAATAAGGACATCTCATATTTGCCTCAGAGCGTTCATTCTATTGTAGAATCGACTAGTGAAACAAATTCGATCAAAAGTTTTGAACGTGCACGCCCACCATCTCGGGAGCAGGGGCAGCGATGGCTGGGGCGTCAATTTTTTTACACCAGGCGGTCGTCGCCGTGGGTGCAAGCACGACCATCGTGAAATAATGATTTCGAGTGTCTTTCCAACTTAATTGGTAGCGTTGAAAGAATTGATCGGGGGTGTATCTTTAACAACTTAGAATTTTTCCTCTTGAGTGATTGACAATTACAGGAACACGAAAAAATCGAGACTTTATCTTTGCTCTGCGAGTTCCACCACCAGATTCCAGTAACACTTCACGGTGATGTAAATACCAATTCGTTCTTATCATCAATCTGAAAATCACACACATGAAATGTACGCCCGAACTTTTTCGAGGCGCACGATTTGATGTCCTTAAGCGTTCAGATGCATTTATTTCAAATGCGCCATCATTTTTGTCCAACCGACGGCTTAGCATTAGCCACGAGGGCAATGCTGTGGCCCGCGGAGACTGCGACGCCTGGCGTCTAGGTTCTGTTGTAAAGATTTGCGAGCACGTATGTTCAAAGCTATGTTACATTATTTCACAACTGATCGATTTCGACCAAACGTTGATCACATCCAGACAAGCATGACTTGGGCATATTACTACAAATTGTTGACCCAGTTTGGTTCACAAACTACATTTACAGGGTGTTTGATATCTATGTGAAAAAGCCCAGGTACATATTTTGGCAAAGCTTCTGTGTTCTTTCGGCTTCGAAAAAAACTCCACTTGAACACTGACAAATGAGGAGCGCGGATGTTTATTTCATGGAATGGCTTAACGCACGATTTCTTCTGCTAAATGACGATATAAATCAGGCGGAACTGATCTTGCGGTGGAAAGATACCAAATAAAAACATGCCCCATTAACAAATGGGCAATATCCGGCGTCTTTTTTTGGGGGGGGGGGCGGGCTACCACTATTAGGGGCCCTTTATTAACCCCAAGCCCCACTTGCGAAAGCTCTGGCTGGGCCCTGAGTGCTCAACCTGTCTGTTTTCTCTTGTTGTCAGGTCTGGTGACTTGGAGTTTGAGGCTTTGAAGTGCCGACTGCATCGTAACTGGGCCTGGACTGGATCAGTTTTGTGTGTGCATCATGCCATGGCTCGCGGGAGTTAACAGATGTGTGGTGGACCGCACTGTAGCATTCATCTTCAACTTGCTCTTTTTTATTCCAGATGACGATACATCATATGCATCCAACACGTCAAGTTCAGTCGCATACTTTTGT